GAGAAGCTTGCGACCTGTTACCTGGCCAATGGCACCAAGGCGGCGTCGACCGAGCCCAAAGGAAAGGTCCCTACTGGTTCATTCATGCTGGAGGTGTCCGAGTCGTCGATGAAGCCCCGTCGACCAGGAGAACCTCCTCAAGGACTGTATTCAGGGTCTTATCAACACGGAGATGATCACCGCGGAGGATGAGATTGTCTCGACCTACCACCGCCGCTTCGACCACGGTTACCCCACTCCCTCTCTGGAGCGTGAGGGCGTGCTCAAGGACCTACTGCCTAAGCTGCAGGACCTGGACATCTACTCGCGCGGTCGTTTCGGCAGCTGGAGGTACGAGGTCGGCAACCAGGACCACTCCTTCATGCTCGGCGTGGAGGCCGCAGACAACATTGTCAACGGCGCCGTCGAGCTGACGCTCAACTACCCCGACTTTGTCAACGGCCGCGCCAACACGGAGCGTCGCCTGGAGAACTTTGTTGTCGCGCCCACATCTACCCAGACCAACGGCGCCAAGGAGCTGCCGACGAGGGAGCGTGCCGTGTCCAAGGCTTCGCAGCCCGCACACAGCCGCAAGTCGTCGAAGCAGGTCCAGTAGACTACTTAATATCAAGGTGAGCCCGGCCGGCGGGGCGACTTAAAAGAGTCGGCGTGGGACGCGAACAGCAAGCAGCTGTGGGACCTGGCTGGAAGGGACGATTCGGATGGGAGAGGCACTCCGGGAAGGGGACCCGCGTGATGATGCATGCTTTGAGGATACATGGGATTGGTACGCTTGCCAGGAGGCAAGCACAAGCGTCATAGGCATGATGTTGATGGATTTGTAGAAAGCATGGCGGATGGCCCACTGTTGGGTCAGGTTTGATAGATATGCCAAGACTCTGCTAGATAGATGAAGAATTGTCGTGAAGCCTCAACTGCGTCCCTCCTTGCCATTTTGCCTCCAGACGTACTGTTGTATGCTGGATCTTCTCGCAGCAGGGCACGTTATCCACCACACTCGGTGGTCTCAGAATGCGGCTCCGTTGCGAAACATGTGCAGGTCTCACCTGGACCGCGACCCAGCAAAGGCGACAACTCAACAAGCCAAGACTGCGGTGTGTTCGAGGCATGGGGCATTGAAGGTCTGGGCCGCTTATGTTATCAACACGTACGAGGTCAGGACATTTTACTGGGCGTGTTTGAGAGTGAGGAGAGAGAGAGAAAGAAGGTTTCGAGAAGGTTGTCAGAGTGGCTGGACGGAGAGACCGTCTTGGAACACGCGACCAGCTGCAAGCCGACACGCTAATCATGCCGGTTCCGTGAATTTTTCTTTTCCCCTTCTCCTGCCTGCCTTGCCATTATTGTAAACAAGGCACGAGAGGAGCCGCAACGTTCGGTTGGGCAGTAACAGGGACAGGATCGACATGCATCGTGTGGTTTTTTGTCTGGGTGCCTGGGTTGATGACAGAAAGGAATTCGATCCGAAGATGTGGGGACAGGGCCGGCCGATCAGAGACTCAGGGTTGGCCTGCAAGCATTTGAATGACAGCTGCTCTTCTGGCCTGTAAGATGAGATGTCCCTGGCGAGGAGACCGGGTTGTGCTGGCTTGCCTGGCTTGCCGACTTGGCCGTGCTGATGGTCAGGGTTAGAGGGACGACGATTGTTAAGGTATTGATGGCAGAGACGAGACTGCTCTGGTCCTGGGCTGCCATGTCGACGAAAAGCATGTTTGATTACCTTCGTCTTTGCCGGGCCACTTCCAAGGCGGCGGGGGGAGGAGGGGGGACAAGGAGTCGTCATCTGGCAGCAGAGACGACCCAGCAGGACAAAGCAATCGTCAGGCACTACCCGAGGAGGCCGCCCCCACTTCACACGCCGAGCGGCCGCTCCTTCGAATGACTGATTCAAGATGGCTGACTAGGCACCTAAGGACCACCTAAGGACCTCAGCGTCCAGGCCCCTACCCCCCCTAATGCCCCAATGGGCCCTAACCTAAAGGCCCCAAGACCTGGTGTCGGTCAACGACCAGGTTCAGTGTCCCTTGCCCTGGCCCAGATCCCGCCTGCCTCGCGAGCCAAGTCGTCAGTCCTCGTCCAATAGAGAGGGTGGAGTCACGAAGATTCTCAACTCTGCGTTTTGTTTGCTGCTGGCGAGTGAGGTGCCTCCTCGTCTTGATTGACCAGACATTGTACCTGTGCCTGTCCTGAGCCATCATAGCAGAGCCTCTTCTTCCCTGGCCTCACATCGATTTTCGAGAGGAGTTCCGCTGCCTTGTTGGCTTCCCAGGTACCTACCTAGACGCAACAACCTCCCAAACCGCGATTCGGCTTTGGCTCCGCTCTAGCTCTCTTGATCATATCGCCCACCCCCGAACCAGACGCCGACCACATCCGGCCACTGGTCGCGCAAAACATTCTCGCACCCAACGCAGCGCCTGTAGCATCAACACCTCTGCTGAGCGCTTCGGTTCTTGAGCCTTCCCTCGCCGGGCGCACAGAAGACCGTGTATCAGTCCGACGACGATGCCTGTGCCGACGAGCTTCTCCAGGTGATGCTCTGTTCCTCCCCAACCTGAGCCGACCGCCTGCCTCTAGGACTGCTGAACAGCACATCCCACAGCCATCCGAGCTCGCCCTCTGCGGCCTCTGCTTCGCATGGACTACGCCGCCATCATGCCCGACGATCAGCATGATCCGCCGGCGCGCCTCTTCGAGCGACTCCGCCAGATTGCCGGCTACACCTGGGACGACAGTCATCCGCCGTTCCATACAACCTATGAAATCTGGGATGTCGTCGGCACCAAGTTCGTGTCGCCCTTCTCCCCGCCCACGACATATCCCGTCTCGAGCCCTGGGTCTGCGGCGAGGCTCCAGTCCGGCCGCCCGTCGCCCTCTGAGCATTACAGCTCCCCCAGCATCATCGGCGCCGAGACCCAGGCCGACGCCAGCAAAGACCCCTCGCTCTCGCCCGCATCGCCTCCCATGCCGACTTCGAACCCCGATACCCTCTACCCCGAAGAACCCGTTATTGCACGCATATCCTACCATGTCCTCCGCGAAGAGAGAACCTTCCACATTACCAAGCACCTCATCACATCCGTTGACCCCCACGGAGAGCATATCGTCAAGCCGATAGACCTCGTCCGCCTGACGCCGCAGCCCGGAGACCGCGGGTCCATCATTGTGGCCATCTACCAGCACCCCGGACGCAATGCCATATTCGACTTGATAGACGTCGGCCCGGCCTTTTACAGCACGCGCAAGGTCAACGACCATTGGGAGGCGTACAGAAAGGAGGTCTTTAGTCTCAACCCGCCAATAGGCGTGCCCGAGTTTCTGCGCTTCGCCATTGGCGCCGCGCAGTGTCTGGAGATACTGCACTATGGCCAAGGCGCCACGCACGGCGAGATCAGGCCCGACGCCTTCCACTACAATATCGAGACGCACCGCGTCAAGCTCGCCGCCATCGGTACGGGCACCAGGTCCTTCGAGAACAGACTGCAGAGCTCGGCGTGGTCAAACCTGTCCAAGGAGCTCGGGGCGAAGAACAAGCTGCTGTACATCAGTCCCGAGCAGACCGGACGCATGCCCGCCGAGCCCGACAGCAGGACAGACATTTACTCTTTGGGTGTCGTCCTGTGGACAATGCTGACGCAACACCCCGTCTTTGATGGTGATACGCCTCTAGATATCGTCCACTCTGTGCTCAAGGGAAGCATACCCCGACTGTCGAAAGTGAGGGAAGACCTTCCGTCTGTGATCGGCCGCATCATCGAAAAGTGTACGGCCATGCGCGTGGCCGATCGCTACCATTCGGCGAGCGGTCTACGCCACGATCTCGTCAAGGTCCAGGAGTTTCTGGAAAAGGGAGACTGGCTGGCCCTCGAAAAGTGGACCATTGGTGAGAAGGATATCTCCTCCTTCTTCATCCTCCCGACCATGATGATCGGGCGATCCAAAGAGAGGAACGAACTGCTCAAGGTCATCGACCGATCTGCCAAGAGCCACGCCATGAGCCAAAAGGTCGCCAGCAATCGATTTTCAGACGGGTCCAACCTCTCCAACGACATTTTGGACGCGGCCGACGCCTCGAGCGAAGGAGCCAGTTCCGCCGATGGCACGGCCCGCCGCAGCGGCTCCTTCACCCAAACTACCTCCTCAGACCCTAGGCAGGTCAGGGCTAGTTTTGTGCCGTCGGTGCTCTCTGACAGCCAGACCATCTCGGGTGAGACGGTTGCCTCGACCAACAGTGGTCCTCTGGCCCGAATGGCAAGACCCTGGGAACGCAACTCCTCCGTGTCTGTCGAGACGCGAAGCCTGGCGGACAGCATGGGGACCAGTGATATGAACCGGCAAAGCGTGGCCGACTCTACAGCCTCGAGCTTGTCCCGCCAACTCGGATCGGCCAAGTTTAGGCGCCGCGGACATTGCGAGATCATTACCATCGAAGGTGTTGCCGGCCTGGGCAAGAGCTTTCTCTTCCAGTCTGTCTTTGCAGAGGCCAGAAAGCGGGGCTACTACGTCTCTGCCAAGTTTGACAACGCAAGGAGACAGGCCTTCGGCCCTTTGCTCAAGTTGCTATCCTCGCTCTTCCGACAAGTATTTGGCGAGAAACACACAGACACGCCTTTCCACCATGCGTTGAAACACTACATACGCCCTGTCTGGCCGATGCTTGCCAAAGCATTAGGCCTCCCTGAACATCTTCTCGGCACCATTGATAACTCAACTGCGCGATCGCCACCGACCTTCCAGGGGTCTCGCAACATGAGAAACAGCATGAAGCAGGGGCTGTCTCCTGACGCTTCACCCGGCCTGCAGCCCAAGAACCCGGGCATACCGCTGCAAAGCTCCCAGGATTTCCTGCGAGCAGGCACATCTACGAAGAACACGAGGCTGATGAACACGTTCTTGGACGTGCTGCGCATGATCACGGCCAATAAGTTTGTATGCTTTGTGCTGGATGACTTGCATTTCGCAGACAGCGAGTCTCTCGAACTGATCTCACAGATCATCAGCGCAAGGATGAGGATGGTCATTATTGTGACGTACCGGCCGGATGAAATGACGCCTGACGAGGTTCATTCCATTGTCAACTCTACAGAACCCGACGGCAAGTCCAAATATTGTGATCATGCAGCGGACAACCACTCATGCTCTACAGACTTTTCGCGCACAGGGAGGCCGACAATCACCCGGATCGCGCTGGCGCCCCTCAGCGAGATCGACATTGTGCACTATGTTGCTGCCACGTTGTGTCGACCCAAAGAGGACATTTTGCCATTGGCCCTAGTCATCCAGTCCAAGACTGCTGGCAACCCATTCTACATCAGGGAGATGCTCAGCGCATGCTACCGCAATAAGAGCATCTGGTACGAATACAAGGACAGCAACTGGCACTTTGATCTTGACCGGCTCTTCGATCAGTTCCAGACGGAGGGATACGATGTTCTCGATACGGCTTTCATCACTCAGCGTCTGAAAGAGCTCCCGCCATCGGCGCGTGCAATTTTGGCCTGGGCTGCGCTTCTCGGCTACTCCTTCTCTTTTGAGCTCGTCAGTCGTCTCTTGACGGGCGAGTTCCAATACACGGACGATGTTGCTTGTGTTGATCCCAACGCCGAAGAGGTGAACACAAAATACTCAAACGATGAAGTCATCGCTGGCCTCCAGGCTGCCGTCAACGCGTGTATTCTGATGCCTGGCGAGACGGATGACCGGTTCCGTTTTGCCCATGACCGCTACATCCAGGCCTCGGCCGCGCTCAAGGAATGTAACGCCCGCAAAATGCGCTTCATCATCGCCCAAACTCTCATGAAGTACTACTCAACGGATGCTCGGGCGAGAGATACTGCTTCGTTACACATTTGCGAGTCCGCCGAGCTGATCAAACGGCGAGTGAGGATCCGCGAACCCTTTCGCACGCTGCTCCTCGAGTGCGCCGCAACGGCAACAGAGAACGAGGCACGGCCGACGGCTGCCAAGTATTATGCGACGGCCTTGGACCTCCTCCAACAGAATCCCTGGACCGATGGCCTCGAGGACGTGTCTTACGACGAAACCCTACAGATACACCTGCGAGCGGCTGAGTGCAGTTTGTACATGAATCAAGAAGAAGAGGCGAGCCGTCTTCTCTCTATCCTGTTTGAGAAGGGACGCACGGCGATCGACAAGGCACCCGCGTACGTGCTGCAATCACGGATTCACACCCAGGCTGGGGATGTGGCCGCAGCGTGCGACTCGCTGGAGAAGTGTTTGCGCCTCATGAATGTCAGGCTAGAGGAACACCCGACGTACGAACGCTGTGACCGAGAATTTGAACGCCTGGCGATCAAGATTCAGACGATGGACAAGACGGAACTGATGCAACCGGCCGTGTCACCGGACCCAACCTTACCCTCGATCGCCGCCGTCATGGCTGAGACGTTGAGCTCGGCATGGTGGAGCAACTCACTCCGGTTCTACAGCATCACCCTCGCCATGCTGGATCTGCACTTGACTTCTGGCGCATTTCCGCAGTCTGGGCTGGTCTTTCTCTACTTTGGCATCATCGCTCTCTCCCGCTTCAACCTCGTTAAATTGGCTGTGGAGGCTGGTGATGTCTGCATCGAAATGCTCGATCGATTCCGAGATCCCTTCTCCATGGCGAGAGGCTACATGGTCTATGCCATCTTCATCGGCCACGTGCAGTTCCCCGTCAGCGTGGCCTTGACACACCTGGAAGGCTCTGTCGAGTATGCTGCGACCGCCGGAGATCGCATATCGTCAATCATGAGCGCTGGCTTGTCTGCGATGCTCAAGTTTTACGCTAGCGAAAACCTTGCTGATGTCGAGGCATTCGCCCAGTATGCCTGCGAAGACGTTCAGGGTTGGAAGGACGACACCCGGGGCGGCACTCTGCTCATCGCCGTTCGGCAGCTCTGTCGTGCCATGCAGGGCAAGACAAGAACCAGGGACGCACAGCACGTGTTGAGCGACAATGTTTTCAATACCCTCCAATACAAGTCGCGGCTCGACACGAAAATTCTGAAGGGAAACCGCTCCATCTTGTTCTTCGAAACGTTGGAGATAATTCCGCTTTTCCTCTTTGGCCACTATGACCGCGCGATCGAGATTGGGGCAGCCTGTTACGAGAACATCGATATCATGTGGTCTGCCCGCAACAGTCGCCACCTTATATTCTTCTACGGACTGTCCCTTGCTGGCCGGATGCTACATCGTCTCGACGACCCGCGGTTCAACCCAGACAGCCTCGAGGCGGAGAAGCAAGAATGCATCCAAACACTGCGCGAGTTTACGAGAAAGATCAAAGAGTGGTCCACGTACAACGATGTCAACTACGCTTCGTGGTACAAGATTCTCGATGCTCAGATTTGCGAGCTCAGCAAGGACTATGGCGGCGCAATCATGCTTTACGAAGAGGCATTGGATCATGCCGAGGAGCACAATCACACCTTTGACGAGGCGTTGGGTAACTATCTCATGGCCGGTGTGTTTGTCGGGAGGAAAGCGAGGCGGTCTGCCCCGGGCGGCTATGAGGGACTCTGCCGCGCTGTATCGGCAATTTGGTGCCGTCGGCGTGGCTGATCATATCGAGGAGACGCACGCGCTCCTTCTCCATGGCCCAACACGGAACCCGCGGACCGTAGATGCCTGTGTGCAGACGGACTTTTCATCAGACGCTCCTCCACCGCACTTCCGTGCCATGGATGGCGAGGAGAGCGAGGATTTACCACTGGCTCCAAGCAGCGCGCTGGTCGATCTGAAGGGTGAACGGATCGGTGCCTGGCGTGGCTCCGTTCACCTCCAAGCTGGTGCCGGGGCCGGTCTGCCTGCGCTCGATATGATTGACCTGCACGCGATCCTGCTGTCGTCTCAGGTCATCTCGGCCGTTCTCAACGTCGACCAGCTTCTCGAGACAATGTGCGACGTCATCTTACAGACCTGCGGTGGCACGGCCACACTCGCCGCCATTATCGTCCGCGATGCGCAGGGATGGTGTCTCGCGGCTAGCGGAGATCCTGAGCGGGGAGCAAAAGCCCCTGAGAGCCGCGAGTTGCTCTCGCACACGTCGCTCGTCGCAGAGAACGTCATTCTCTACTGCACGCGGTTCCGGGAGACATTGTTCATTCCGGATATCCTCAACGACGAGCGGTTTGGCAACGTCAACGAAGCGTGGCTCCAGCGCAACGTCTTGAGTAAAGCCATCATTGCGATACCCATCTCCCGCGGAGCCGGCAACGACGGGCTGCTCGGCGTCCTCTACCTTGAAGGTGAGCCAGGGTCGTTTACCGATCGCAATGTGTCAGTGCTGCAACTGCTCGTCAACCAGATCGGCATCAGTTACTCCAACTCGCTGGCCATGAAGGCCGTGGAGAAGGTGTCCAAGGAGAACGAGTCGAACGTGCGGGCGCTCAAGAGCACGGTGGATCAGGCGCGAGAAGCCGAGGCCAAGGCCAAGGCGGCCGAGGCGGAAGCGAAACGCAACGTCAAGCTGGCCGAAGAGGCAGCGAGGGCCAAATCAATCTTCCTGGCCAACGTATCCCACGAACTGCGGACGCCTCTCAACGGCGTCATTGGCAACTCGGAGTTGCTGCGCGACAGCAGTCTCAACAGGGAGCAGCTGGACATGGCGGACTCGATCCGGGTGTCCGCCGATCTGTTGCTCACGGTCATCAACGACATTCTCGATTTCTCGAGAATGGAGGCCGACAAGATGAAACTGTATGTCATCGCCTTCAACCCGGAGGAGATGGTGCGTGAGGTCGTGCGTGCAGTGTCGTACAGCAACAGGCAGAAGACACAGAGGAAGAATGTCACGATTACCAAGGATATCAACCTTCCCCCGATGCTCATTTACGGCGACCCCATTCGGCTGCACCAGGTGCTTGGGAATCTCATCAACAACAGCCTCAAGTTTACAGAGAATGGCTCCATCACGATCGGGGCGCAGGTCGATTACGATTCGAACGAGAAGGCCGTGCTTACCTTCAAGGTCCAAGACACCGGCATCGGGATTCCACAGCAGCAGCTCGAGAAGCTGTTCCAGCCATTTTCGCAGGCGGACGCCAGTACAGCAAGAAAGTACGGCGGCAGTGGTCTCGGACTCAGCATCTGCAAATCTCTGATCGAGACCATGATGAAGGGCAAGATTCACCTGGAGAGCCAAGAGGGCGTCGGCACGATGGCTTGGTTCACCGTGACTTTTGACAAGGCCACGCCGGACGTCAATGCAGGCGACGCGCAAACGGTCAAGTCGCCGCCCATCGCCGACCGTTTCACGATACCCGCGACTCCGCTCAACGAGCTGGCGCCGAACCCGTTCATCCACCTGACGACCATACCGAAGGATCAGATCCGAATCTGCATCGCCGAGGACAACCTGATCAACCAGAACATCGCCATGAAGTTCTCGCGACGCCTGGGCTACACGACGGTGGACGCGTACGAGAACGGGCAAAAGGCACTCGAAGCGCTGAGAAAAAAGGCGCAGGAAGGACAGCCATATCACGTTGTGCTCATGGACGTGCAGATGCCTGTGCTCGATGGCTATGAAGCGACCAAGGCAATCCGCAGCGAGCCCTTGGAGGCGGTGAACAAGGTCCTGATCATCGCCATGACGGCATCGGCGATTCAGGGTGATCGGGAGAAGTGCCTGGCGGCCGGCATGAACGATTACATCGCGAAACCCGTCCGGGTCGACGTCTTGGGCCGAAAGCTGGACAACTATATCATGCCGCACACCGCGGCAACGGGACCCGGCAGCAACACACCCGTGAGGCCATCCCCGGCATCTGGCGCCTTCGCGCCGCCACCTAGATCGGCGGCGGTGCCCGCGTCCGCGTCCCAGACCCCGCCTTCTTCGCGCACAACGCCAAGCCCGCCCGCGTATCCCAGCTTCGAGGGCAACGGCGTGGCCGCCAGCGCGCCTATTCCCATTCGCGACAACCCCGCCTACAGCCGCCCGTCCGTTGAGCCGCTGGCGCCAAGCCAACGATCGAGCGAGACGCGGCTGTCGGACGCAACCGACGCGCCGTCGGTGACGCCTTCGCAGAAGCGGCTGACCAAGAAACTCACCAAGAGTCGCACGAGCAGCGAGACGAACATGATTTCGCCGCTGCCGCCACCGCCACCACCAACACAGACGCCAGAGAAACCAGAGAAGACCAAAGGCGTGCTCACGAAGCGGCCGCCGCAACGGCAGGGGACGACGTCTTCGGCAGACGGTGTGGAGAATGTACCGCTCGACGCTGCTCAGCGGAACAGCGCAAGCTCGAGCCGGGACCGGTTTTTCATGGGCTGAGGGCTTGTGTAGCTCAACCCCAGCTTTGACGAGGCGTGGGCGAAGCATCTTTATTTCAAGGGAGCCTGAGGGGACTTTTTCGTGGACGAGAGCATCTACAGCATGTTTCTGATTTGACTTTGCGGAAGAGGAAGACAAAAGAAGATGTAATGCCTACTCACCTGAGCAGGGCAACGGCACAGCAGACGGGGATTCATATTTCCTCATGTGTTTTTTTTTTTTTTTTGTTTTGTGGCCCCCCGGGGGTAGACAGCTTCTTCCAGCCCATTCTGCCTTCTCACTTTACTTTTCTCGTTCCTGCACGGCGCTCGGGAAGGGATGATGGTTGGGAAAGAGGAAAACAGGGGGGAATCATTGGGGAGCACCTTTTTATTTCTCTTGTTGTATGGTACATTTACGCTTCCTACACATGTATGTGGTGCGCTGCCAGTGAAGGGGAAATGAAGGCAGGACGAGGAAGAGAGCGGGAAAGACGGATACATCGCGGCGGGCAGCTGCATGGACTTTGTTTGACTTGACGTATGAGCGTCTATTTTGATGGCCCCGTTGCCGAAAGACGAAAGAGAGAGAGAGAGGCTGCCGGGATGAATACCGATTCACAACACCACCTCCCATGTGACTCTTTTCGTGCCTGGACTCTATCTGCAACTGTGGAGTGCCTTCTGTTCATGATTGTGGTTGCGTTGGCTAGGCTGACAAGCACAGACGAGGACAGAGAGCATCATGATGTGATTGATACCTTTTCTGGATATGGCGACATGCGATTTTTCGGATGGCAGTATCAACATCCTGAGACGACAGTGACGATTCATACCCCTCCCCCTGGCACGATACCCTCACTCCCAAACTTTGATGCGGCGGAGTCGAAAGAGAAAGCTTTGGAGGCCATGTTGGGAAGCTTTCACACAAGTGCGAGAACAGGCCAGGCTGATACAACGCATCTCGTATCTATCCAGTCCCCCCCTTTCGACCCCCTTTTGACTCAGCCACGGGCTAGCAAGCGAGGAGAAGCACGTCAAGTCCATGCATGCTACTCCATCCACGAGACGACTCTCGTCTCTGGCTGCCGCTCTAGCTCGTAGTAGGAGTGGGCTGATGTTATGAGGCGCACAGATCTTGGCCCGAAGCATTACTGCTGCGATGCAACAGAGGTCGAGGCACTTTTGCATCATGAGCTGACTGACTGGCTGACCGGCTGACCAACTGGAGCCGCCATGTCGTTTGAATTGACGACTAAAAATGGCCGAAAAGTCCGCGCCGATGTCGACTTGGCTCTCGGTCGGACCCTTTGTTTCTGGCCACACCCCTTCCCTCCCTCACCCCGCCCTCCGGTCTCAAGCGTTCGTCCCATCTGGCTTGTTGCTCGCCCGATAAGCACCGGCAACAGCCAGCGGCGCACACGGACCCCTCCCTGCTTCGGCCGTGATAAATCAGATGAGACGCTCTGCTTGCCTTGCCGAGAGGGGTCGGTTCGCCCGACTGTGCGTTCGTCCCAGGTGGCGGGGTAAGGCTTGGTCTCGCGCCCTCATCACGGACGGCCCAGCGCCGCGACTGCCGCCGTCTCAAGCGCGCGGCCGGGCGAGGGTCAGGGCGGGCGGAAGGGACTCCGAAACCCGTGTGCGCGCGCTTCTTTGACTCAAATCGACTCGCTGATTAATTACAGGTCGTGACGAGCTGGAACTCTTATCGCTTATTCGGCTTTAGGCCGCCCTAGGTCCGCCAGGCTGGGGCAACCTGTTAGTCACGTCTGATGGTGAGCAGACAGAACAGGCAGATAGATCCTTTTGAACAAGAAGCTCCTCTGGAGAGATACCAGCATCTTGTCCCCGTCGGCCCACCTGCCTAGTCACTGCGTCCATGACACCAACAGAAACGCAGCACAAGCCGCCAGATGGATCTCTTGTCCTCCTTCACAAAAGATCAACCACATCATTCAAGGTAGTGGACATACTGACAGAGCACCCCAGAGCATTTTCGCCTACGGGACCGGCCTGGGTGCTCACGGACCGCCGAACAGCGCACGGGCATGACCGTTGCGGGAGGGGAAAGCAGGCTTTGCTCATCTGCCGTGCCCAGGATCGCCCTCGCATCGGAAGAGCTGTCTGGTGAGGGTTCCCCTCTCGATTCGGTGTTTCATGTGACCTTCTTGGACGTCCGTGATAGAACATCGTTCCTCGTTCCTGTCCGTGTGTGTGTGTGTGTGTGTATGTGTGTGTGTGTATGTGTGTGTGTGTATGTGCACGGCGTCATGTTTTGCATGAGATCCTTTGCGTGCCAGCCCAAGCCCAGCTGCCTCCCAGCCTTATCTCCTCCTTGTAAAGTCTGGACAGGTGCAAAGTACGACCTCGTGGCGGGCAAATCCATGAGCGATCCCGGGCACCGCAATCTCGAGTTTGAGCTACTGTATGTAATGGTACGACCCCGCAGAAAACGCTCACACAGAATGCAAGTCATCTCTCAGGCTTGCACACTGTTCCCACTTCGGGAGGAGAATGCCAGCAATGAGCAAACCCTACAATGCAAGTTGCATGTCGGCTGAAGCTGTAGTGTATGTGTGATTATTAGTCTCGAGTGAGAATTCAACCCTGGTCGCAGATCTATTGCTTCAGGATGCCTGCTGCATATGCCAGCGATGCCAAGGCGTGTTTGCACCACCCCACTTCTCATTTAACTTGCACATTCGAGCTGACGCCATGTGAGGCTTGACAACGGGAGATGAGAAAGAATCCGCGCCGCAGTACGAACAAAACGACGGTGGCTCGTCGCTTGCATTGCTCTGGTGCGGCGGGTAGCCGAGCTACTTGCTCCTATAACCACGACGGTATAACACAGCCCTTGCCGCGGAGCCGAGTCAGGGGGCCAATGTGACATTCCAATTAGCAAACCGCATTTGCTCCCAATGCAAGTTTTGATGAGGCTGCTGACGACCAGTGTCTGGTATATGGATTCGTTCCTCACGAATTGTCTGAATCGCCCGAGTCGTACGTGTCTGTCGTCAATTTTCCTCTCTGAGAACGCACAACCAGATTGATTGGGTAAAGATCGCAGATCTGGTAGGAGAGAGATGGAGTGACACTGTGAAAGGTCCGATCCACCTAATAAACTTGGGACCGGAGAAGCAAGGCCCCCTCACCCACGGACCCTGGCCAGCCTAGGTAAATGGAGGGAGGACAACGAAGTGGGCGGGAGTGGATGATACAACTTGTGCTTGAGGCCCTTCCAGGATCGCTTCCCAGTCGCGCGGGTTCGTTGACTCGCTCGCCCCGGGCTGGGAGGCGGGGAGAAGGGCAGCAAACCGAAACGTCTCGAAAAGGGCAGGATCAGAGGAGTGAGCTCCAGATGTTGATGCGTGATTTCCATCCCGCCAGGTTCTAGACCTGTCGATCCTTACTTGTTGCCTTGGACGTGTGCGCACCTTGCATACCAACCGGCCTGGCTGGCAAGCAATTCTCTAGTCGAGCGGAACTGAAGCCGGTGCAACGAGCAAGGAAGAGGCGAAAGTGGAGGTTGCTTGGTGGATATCCTCGCTTTCTTCGACTTGTCAGAGTGGCTGTCAACCACGTTTTCGACGGCGCACGCCACAGGTACCTGCGTGGCGGTACGGCGATCACAACCCCAAATGGTAACCAAACTGGGTGCGGTCAGATATCCGCCGGTTCTAGGGAGCCTGCGAGCTGGAGAGGCGACAGGCTCGTGGAGATACGGCAGGTACATAGAACAGAAGCCAGTGACCTGACGTTGCTGGATTCCGCCGTGGCTGCACCGTGGCTTGAATTGGTGTCTCCCAAACTGGAGACTGCGTTTGATTGAAGGATTGAACGATGGGCGGCTCACCATGTTGCCCCCGCTTTTGCTTCCTTGTCCTTGTCCTGTTCCTGGCATCCAGGTACAGCACCAGGCTGGCAAAACTACTGTTGGTCCGCTGAAACGTGTCGGCATGTGTGCTCGTTCGGACAGGCTGTGTCTTCCCCACGCCGAAGAGGAGGGGTTGCAGGCTTCGTGTGCATGTACCAAGATGATGGTAGCTTTCGCGGTTTATGCCTTCTTGGGATGGGATGGGCGTCCGACGGAATGCATTGATAGTTCAGTGTTTATCACTAGACTCATGACTGGGCCGCTGGCGGTGGTGATGCTGTCCCGGTCGATTACAGTACAAGCCCACGTAGCGCGGCGTCGGCGGTCTAGGTGAAGCTGATCTTTGTACATTTCGACTGTCTTTGGTTGGCCAAGAGCGACAGCATGAATGACTTGATCGACTAGGCTTGAGACGAGAAAAGCCAAACCACGAACAAGATCGCTGTTGTCGATTGCTTGTAGAGGCTACCTCTGTCCCAGGAGCACAAAGCCCTAGACGCACCAGCCCGCGGCCGTTCGTTGCTGGCCGCCGATGCTTCCCGCATTGGGTGGCTCGTCGAATCCCGCCTTTGGGTAAGCTAAGCCCTGAGGTATGGGAGATCGCGTGCGCTGTGATGGCACCAGCGCTAACAGAGCGTTGCCATGCCATGCCTTGCCTTGATTGCTTGCCAACTGGTTTTAGTTCTCGGTCTTGAAGCCATCAGCGGACACGCTCGAATGAGGGAGGGTTGTCGATCTTGTAAGCCGGCGCGACGACAAATGCGCTTCAGGGAAGAGGGGGGGGGGCCGCAAATGGGATTGGCCTGGCCTGGCCTGTCTGTGTTTGGTACTTCCTGCCCCTCTGAGCTTACGGATAGACGCAGGGCGGCGTTGCGGCTGGGACGAGGGAACGGGTCAGCAGCACGTCAGACCCAGGTTCTCATGGACACGAAGGTTCGCGCTTGATCCAGATGTAGAAGCTGAAGCTGTCGGAGCTGAGATTTGAGCCGTCGGGGCTCAGGACGCATGGCGCGTGGCGGCAGAGCCGAACTAGCTGTACAAGTACATGGTGTCGGTGTCAAGAATTGGACCGATTGAGGCCCAGTCCGCCTGGAGCTCTAGCTGGCCAAGCCAAAAGCTCTTCTCTCCTGTGTACAGCTCTATGC